GAACCAATTACAAGGAACTATATGTGACCTCCTCCCTGGGGGACGGACAACAGAAAAGTGGGTGAAGGGAGACGTCGGACAGGGCAAGATCTGACAAAATAACAATTTATAAACTCATGAGGGAGGGGAAAGCGGGGAGGGAGAGGAAAAATGAGGAGCTGATGCCAGGGGCTTAAGTGGAGAGAAAATGTTTTGAGAATGATGAGGGCAGTGAATGTACAAATGCGCTTTACACAATTGATGTATGTGTGGATTGTGATAAGAGTTGTATGAGCCCCTAATAAAAGGATTAAAAAAAAAAAGTCCAAGGCACACACACACAAAAAATAATCCTTATAGGCAAAGATCACCTCTCCTTTCTCCTGCCAAGTCACAGACAAGCAGTGGTTAGCGACAACCTTGTGGTTTGTGGTCCCAAAACTCAACCCTAAGTGTCACAAGGGTTCCTTAAATAGAAACCCCCTCCCTGGAAAATAAACAAAAACATTACCAAATTCACCACCACCGAGTTGATTCCAGCTCATAGTGATTCTATCCGATAGAGCAGAACTGCCCCTGGCAGTTTCTGAGACCGTGATTGTAGATGGGAGTAGAAAGCCTGTCTTTCTCCTGAGGAGTGGCTGGCGGGGGTGTTTCACACTGCTGACCCTGCTGCTAGCACCCCGAAGCATAACCACTGTGTAATTAAAATGCTATTGCAGTCTTGTCCACATGACTCGAACAAAACCAGGCGCTCTCCTCGCTGCGAAATGACTAATGCTCCCCAGTGATCCACTCATTTAACAGACTCTGCCAGTCCCGCGGGACCCTGGTGGCCTAGCGGGCTATGAGTTAGGCTGCTCAGCCGTTCAAAAGCACTCGTAGCTCTGCGGGAGAAAGTTCAGGCTTTTTCCCTCCCGTAAAGACACAGCCCTAGACCGAGGGAGTCACTTCTGCTCAGGCCCCCACACAGGGCACTGTGAGTTGAAATCGATGTGCTGGCAGTGAGTTTGGTTTAGTTTCACTCATATCTTAGGCGGCTTGGTGGCCCTGCCAGGTAAGCATAGGATTGCTACCGTAAGATTGGAGGTTCAAACCCACCTGTTGCTCAGAGCGAGAAAGATGAGGCTACCTGCATGTATACAAATGTACACCCTGAGAAACTCTTACATAAGGCTGCCACAGGCCAGTGCTGACGTGGCAGCATGGGTTTGGTTTTGGGGGGAGGGGGGTTTCCACGTCTTAGTTCTTTGCACCATCTCCAGCTGATTGCTACCTGAGGGACTGTTAGGTTCTTACGGCTGCAGCTTTTCACCCATCAGAGCCCCCTTATATTGTGTTGTCCCTTCTAAAGCCCACGCTTTAATGGACCCTTTCTCGGGAGACTTGGCGGTGCAGTGGGGTAAGCAGTGGGCTGCGAACTGCATGGTTGGTGGTTGGAGTCTGGTAGCTGCCCTGCAGCAGAAAGTTGAAGCAGTCAGCTTCGGTAATGACTTACAGTCTTGGCAAGCCTATGGGTCAGGGCTGACTTGATGGTATTGAGTCCGTAGGTGGCACACACCATTCCACACTCGACTGTTAGCTAAAAGTTGGTGGTTCATACCCACTCAGAGGTCTCTAGGAAGAGAGGTCTGGGGATCAGCCTCTGAAAGGTCATGACCTTGAGAAGTGTACAGCGGAGGTCTACCTTGCACACATGGGGTCACTATGAGTCAGAGCTGACTTAACAGCAACCACCACTACCCCCAACAAGGCCCCCCTCAGAGAGGGGGGCTCTCACTGAGGAACCAGACCAAATGCAGAGGCAGCTTCCTACACCTGGCTGAAAACACAGATCTTCTGCTGTGATTCTTCTTGAGGGGAAGCGTGAGCTGAGCCCAAATACCCTGAATTCCTCTTCACCTCTTCATCTCCCCAAAGGTCACAGCAACTACGCAAGCTCTCTCTTCTCTCCCACACCCTCTCACTGGCACCCACCCTTACACCTGGTTTCTGACACTTGGCCCTCTTCACTGCGCCCAGTCCTCTGGGAAGTACTGATTTTGGCCAATCACTTTTATAGATTTCTAGGTGGGGATACCTTGATAGATATCGTTTACCTACTGAGGAGCCCTGGTGGCACTGCTGGGTAGGCATTGGACTGCTAATCTCAAGGTCAGTGGTTCAAACCCACCAGCTGCTCCAGGGGAGAAAGATGAGGCTGTCTGTTCCTATAAAGATTTAAAGCCTTGGAAATCCTATATAGGATTGCTAAGAGTCAAAGTTGATTCTATGGCAGTGGGTTTGTTTTTGTTTGCTTAAATATTGAATTTAAAAATTTTAATTCTTTAATAATCAAATTTCTCATTTAAAAAACACAATCGATTTTGCAATCCAAAACTAACAGTGAGCTATTGTAGCCAAATGTGGAGAAGCTCAACAGTTCAGTTTGCTCGGGCATTCTTATCTCTGGGAACCAAAGGAAAATCCTCTCTGCAGTTACTGATTCCCCTGAGCCTGAATAGTCCACAGACCCCAGAAACCAATGCCCTGGAGCTGTTTCCAACTCCCAGTGACCTCCCAGGCCGGAGCAGAATGGCTCCCTGGAGCTGCTCAGAAGCCCTGGTGGTGTGGTGGTCATGTGTTGGGCTTCGATCCACAGGTCGGCAGTTCAAAACCACGAGCTGCTCTATGAGAGAAAGGCAGGGCTTTCGACTGCCACAAAACAGTTACTCAAAGGGCCGGTTCTACTCTGTCCTATAGGCCGCTTTAAGGTGCCATCGACCCGATGGCAGAATTTGGTTTGGTTTGACTTGGATTTTAAGGCTGCGCCAGTGAAGGTAGTCATGGAGGCAGACAGCCTCATCTGTCCCACAGAGCAGCTGGGGGCTGGTATCTCTGACCATCTGGTCAGCAGCCCAGGGTTGGACTTGCTGCGATGTGCCACCAGGGCTCCTGGAGTAGGACACGTGGATTTGCTCAAAGCAGCAGTAAAAAGCTGCAATGTTAACAAGAAGTCTAGCAGGGTTTCTGGGTCTGACTAATCGTCCCAGAGTTCGACACTGAATGTCAAGTTGACATTGAAGCGTCTCTCCAAGAGGAAAGCATCATTCAAAAGAGGAGCTCATGGTGACTGGAATGAAAAAGAGGCATCTCCAAACACGTTCAGCTGGAATGGGACATTACAGGCGTGGTTTTTATCTTCCCAGCAGTCACAGGCCGAAGGACATACTCTGCTACCCTAGTGATGCTGCCGTGCAGTGCCGTCAGGTCGGATCGGACTCACAGCAGAATGAAGCCCGGCCTGGTCCGGTGTCCTCCTCACATGCTGAAGTCGGAGCCCATCCAGGCAGCCTGTGGGCCGGGTCAGTCCATCCTGTTGAAAGACTTGCTCTTTTTCGCTGCCCCTCTCCTTTAGCAAGCACGACATCCTTCTCCAAGGACTGCTCTCTCTTGACACGTTCCAAAGCAGGTGAGAGGAAGTCTCTCCGGCCAGGCCTCTAAGGAGGACTCTGGCTGTACTTCCTCTTAGACAGATTTGGTTGGCCTTTCGGCAGTCCGTGCACTTGGCATGGCCTTTGCCAGCACCACCATTCAAAGGAGTGGATTCTTCCTCAGTCTTCCTTATTCAAGTCCAACTCTCACAGGCATGGGAGCCAACGGGAAATGCCACGGCGTGGGTCAGGTGCCCTCAGGCCTCGAAGTAACCTCTTTGCTTTTCAACAGTTGAAAGACGTCTTGGGCAGATTGACCCAGTGCAATACTAGTGATAGCAGATAATGAATAGTAATCACAATAGCAAAACAGTGACAGGGGTCTGGTTAGCCCTCTCTAAGAGATGAATTCCCTGATGGGCATTTCACCTGGTTAATGTCTACATGGAGTCATTGGGCAGTGCAAATAGTTAACACTCTTGGCTGCTAACCAAAAGGCCGGGGGTTGAGTCCACACAGTGGGTGCCTTGGAAAATAGGCACTTCTGAGAAACCAGCTACTGGAAACTGTGAAGTACAGTTCTCACATCTGTGAATGCACACATGGAGTTTTCCAGGAGTTGCAGTGGACTCCATAGCAACTGGCTTTACTGGAATGCCTGACTGATGAGCCAACGGGAGAAAATGCAATCACTTAGGGATGAACACAGAAAACACACACACACACACACACACACACACACATACACACACACACACTTCAGTGGCACAGACATGGAAAAAAAACAAAGGGAAAATATTTCTGGATGAACACAAAAGAGCTCACTCAATGGGCTTTTCAACACAATGCTAACTTTTGGAAAAGCGTTCTTCCGCCTCCTGAAACAGGTGTGTGCCAGTTCCTCTCCCTCTTTCTCCCAGCACTCTTCTGTGGACAGACCAGCAAGACTATTTTCATAACAGAGTTATAGTGCTTTTAACAGATTAAACACCCAATTTCATTTAGATGTTTATTAAACACTTGCCTAGCCTCCCTCCCCCACCGATGGCCAGCTAGTCAATTCTGGGTCCTAGCAACCCTCTATAGGGTTTCTGCGACGCTACATCCTTACTGGAGCAGGTAGCCTCATGGTTACTCATTGGGCTGCTAACCTCAAGGCCAGGAGTTCAAAAACCACCAGCTGCTCCTCACGGAGAAAGATGAGACTTTATACTCCCGAAAAGAGTTACAGTCTCGGAACCCCACAGGGGCAGTTCCACCCTGTCCTATGGGGGCTTTAGGAATCAGAATTGATTCGA